TGAGGGCTTTGCACAGGAGCCCCAGGAACTCCAGAGAGCCCCTTCTCGTAGTGCAGTGAGCGGGCAGGCATGTTTTGAAAGCGAATACATTTTCTTTCCCACGGTTTTCTCCGTAATCATGGATCATGGCCCTGGCTATGTTGTAAATCTAGTTTAACCAGAACACATTTGTACGGTTGCCTGAATAGCATTCTTCCCTGATTTCAGGACAATTCTTAACACTTTGTAGAACTTCATCAAATCAGTAATAAGTGACTCCGAATCCTGGAGCCAGAAGGCTTATTCGCGGGGGTGATTTTGTGTTAAATGGGGCAATCAGAGGACGAGCCGCGTCGGTGGCCGCGGGCAGGAGGACCCTGCGCGCCGCTTCCTTCGTCACTTCCTTAAGCGTGATGTCACTGACCCGACTGTGCCCCCCTTTCCCCTGACACGTGGAAGAAGACGTAAGGGATGAGCCGCGCAGAGGAGCGCAGTGAGGGTGCTCGCCGAGGAGCGCCCTTCACCCCCTCGGGGGTAACGGGCTGGTTTCACGCGCGTGGCGCGCGGACCCTGCGGCCCTGCAGCGCCCGCTTTCCACGCCGTGGGGAGCCTCCAGGTACAGCCCGGATGATGCGGCTGATGTGTCAACTGATTCGTCATTAAGAAATGCTTTAAAACAAGCTTGCTTGAGGCAGAAGTACTGCCCTGTTTAGGAGACACGTTTTTCGCAGGCCTGGGATATGCCCCTAACTGCAGACCAAAGTAGCCCCAAACACAAACCTGTGCGTTAAGTTACATCTGCACTTACAGTTACATTCCAGCTGTGAAAGGTGGGGCAGGCTTGGGAAATGATGGAGTATGTCATAAAATGATACCTATGTTCTATGCTTTATTTGATTATCTTTTATCAGTTTATGAAAAATGTATTTTGTGTGCTCTTCCTATCCTGAAATACTAAGTAAAAAACGAAATCATGTCTAACTCGGAGCCAAATATGAGAAAACCAGTAAAAAAAAAAAAAACCAAAAAAACCCCAAAAAACCCCAAAGACTGAAAGCATGAGGACCATCACACGCAAAGAGAAATCGTGGTTTTGCCGTGGAGGGTGGGGCCACGTGTGTCCACTCGCAGGCCCGGTGTGGGTGGGTTCCAGCTGTCCGGCCAGGCCGAGTCCCCAGCCGGGGGGACCCCAACCCCATCTGAGCGAGAGGCGTGGCTGAGATACCAGAACTGGGGAGAGGAGGGTCGTTGGTGAAAATGCCCTGAAACACAGTCAGAGGGTGGGCTGAGGCCTGAGACGTGGTGTGAGAGGCAAGGTCTCAGCGGAGGGAAGCAGGCGGGGTGCTGGCAAAGCGCAGGTGCCTCCCGCCTGCGAGCGCTCTTTGCCTCGCTCCCCGCGGGCGTCGCTGCCCAGAGCTCGCAGTGCAACATCATGAGGAGGGTGCAGGAGGAACTTCCTGAAAGTGCATTATGTCTCCTCCACCATATAATTATTTCACACAGAGTCACAGGAATGATGGAAAATAAAAGCGCCTTTGACCTCTATGCAGAACTGAGAACAGCCCTCTCCTGTGACACAGAAAATGCTGAGGTCGCTCTCTGACCTGGACAACGGGCATGAGGGAACATCCCTTACAGATCTGACAGCCTCGCTCTTACCGGCTACATCCCCAGCCTGTTCCTCAGAGCTACACTCAGGTCAAAATAGTAAAATTGTATTCAGTGATAATTTTTGAAAAATATCAGCATACTGTTCCGAATATTTCAGCTTCCAGCAAGTTAGAGAGGTGGAAAGAGGCAGCAAACTCAAATTTCACAGCCTTAGGAAGCCCAGATCTGCCCTTCCTGTGGTTATGTAGACCACTTCATTCTCTTTTTCTTTCGCCAGTGCAGAGAAGTCATAAACTGTACGTTTTGTTAAATTGAATTAAAACAAAACCCTCTGACTTCATTAAGAAATGATATAATGATTAAGGTGATATAATTCTTATAACTTATCACTAAAATCTTATCTCGTTGCAATGGCCTCAGAATGACAGGGGATTTAACCAGGTTGGTGAGAATACTTTCTTTCTATAAAACTCATAAAACCCTATATTGTTTTTAAAGTGAGATTGTTGTAAAACTGTTACTAGTAATTGTATGCTGCTTTAAAAATGAAGTTTTATCAAATATAAGACATTATAGAAAATTCATAAAATGTAGATGTACAGCTTGATTATTCGAAAGCTAAACCCCTGTGTGACCACAATTTAAGTCCAAGGAAGTGGACTGTTTGCAACTCAGATTCTGCCTCCCGCTCTGTTCTGTTCCCCGTCACACCTGGCTCACTTGCTTCTAAAATAACTACTATCCTGACAGCTTGGGTAGCAATTGTCTTAATTTACTGTAGTACCTTTTATTCCAATCAAGATGGCATTCCAAAACACTACCATAGTTTATCTGAATCAATTCATATATATATGTACACATGTATACACATATATTTGACATATTCTATATATATATATGTGTGTGTATATATATATATATATATATATATATATATATATATTTATATATATATATGCTTCTTTCAATCAGCATTGTGTTCTGTGAGATTCACTTAACGTTGTCCTGTAATGTCTCATTTTTCTTGCTGTGTACTTTTTGATATCACAGTTGGTTACTGTACTCATCTACAGAGTATATTGGAGGGCACACAGTTCATTAATATTTTAAGCCATTTGTACATGGTTGGGACTACTAAGAACAGTGCTACAGGAACATTCTTGTACATGAGCCTCAGGGCACCTGGGCTGAGTTTGCATTAAAAGTGAAGGCTCACACTCTCCCCAGCTGCATAGGAGCTCTTACGTTTCTACAGGCCCTCACCATAATTTGGTATTTTCTGTCTTTTTAATTGTAGCCACTTTGGAAGATTATACACAGGGAATGCATACTGGTTTAAAATTGCATTTCTTGTAGTGTGATGGATTTAGATCTTCCATGTAAGGCTCTAACTCATTTTGAGTTGATTTCTGTTTATGATGTGAGATAAAGGTCCAGTGTCATTCTTCAGCACGTGGGTGCTGTTCCCCCAGCGCCACTTACTGAAGAGACTGTCCGTTCCTCACTGTGTGTTCTTGGCATCTTTGTCAAAGATGAGCTGACCACATGAGCGTGGGTGTACTTCTGGGTTCTCTGTTCTGTTGCATCAGTCTGCCTCTGCTTTCATACCAGTATCTTACTGATTTGATTACTGTTACTTTGTAATACATTTTAAAATCAGCAGGTGCAATGCCTCTAGCTTTGTGCTTACTCATATGGTTGTCATGATTCAAGTACCTGTGGTACCCCATTAATTTTAGGACGATTTTTCTATTTCCATGAAGAATCTCATTGGGATTTTGACAGGGATGGCATCACATCTGTCACTTTGGTTATTAGGGCCACATTAAAGTATTAATTGTCCCAATCCATGAGCACAGGTGTCTTTCTATTTATCTGTATCTTCTTTAATTCCCTTCAATAATGTTTTATAATTTTCAGTGTACAAGACTTTCACCTCCTTGGTTAAGTTTATCCCTAAGTATTTTATACTCTGGTGCTATTGTTAATTTAATTCAGAGACTGGTGAATGAGCACCTTCAAATAAAGTTAAAAATAGCAAAAGGGAACAGAATTAAGGATCAATTTGCAAATTGAAAAAGAAATGAAAACAAGAAAAAACGTTGAATCACATTTTACAGCAGGTAAAATGTTCCCAAATTTTTAACATAGCATTCCTATGTTTTTCCATTTCATTACTGAGTATGTTTCATAATTTTGTCATAAAAGATTTTAGCCAGTGTTTTAAATCACCTGCTCAGTATTATGTTTCTGTGTTTGAGGCTTAAATCTGCCTTTGAAAGGAAAAGCAAGCAACTGTTGCTCTGTAATCTGAAAGCAGGGTAGCCTAGACTGTCCCCTGGGTCTAGTGTTAACTGTCGTTAGTAACCACAGGGTCGTCTACATCACAAACAAGGACGCGTGCAAACGTGCGTGTTTAACACTTCTGCGCCTTCCCGTCTAACTGGCTCACACAGCCACCCCTTGGTGCCCGCGAGGGCTGTTCCCGGCACCGCTGCGGGTGTCCCTCCCGCGGTCTGGCCTCCACATCCGCGGGTCCTGCGTTTGCGGGTTCAGACGACCCCAGATCATGTACTTCATTCAAAATCCCCACTGGGCTGAACCCCGTGGATACCGAGGCCAACTGTCATCTATTAACTGGCACCGTGAAATTAGACATTCACACTTCTGAGAGCAAAATATTCACAACGTAAGTCTGCTAAGGCGACGAAGAGCGCAGTGGAAGCTACAGCCCACTTCTGAACGCTTTTGCACGCGAGGCGGAGCTGGCGGCGACACGAAATGCGACTCCGTGCAGCTCCCTGCAGCGTTTCTCAGGCTCAGGATGGTCAACTCGTACATGGAGAGGGGCTCCTCCCCTTGGACGGTAAACTCATAGCGAGGCTGGTAATACACTGTAGGCTAAAATATTTCTCTTCTCCGAATGTACTTACCGTTGAAAGAAAGCAGTGCCCAGTGGTTGTCACTTCTGGACTCAACCCACCAGTGTAAATGTATGTGCACAAAGTCACCCTCGATCTGGGTTAGTGCTAGGAAATCCCGGCGAAACGGAAGTTCTGCAGTGCCTGGAATGCCAGGTTTGTCCTCATTTTATACATTGAAGCCTACGTTCCATGACGTTCTGGCTTTCGTTGTTTCTCATGAGAAATCAGTTCACAATCCAGCCATTGGTTCTGGAAGGTAACGTGTGTGTGTGGTTGATAAACACCGGCGGAAACACACAGACTCTTAGGAGAGGTTCACGTTCACTTACTGAAGGTTGATCTGGTTCACGCACCTTTTGTGCCAATTAATCTGACAATTTTATGAGGAAATTAGAGTACCACGGGATGTGAAGAGCACACAGAAGCCACCTGGCAGGTGCTTGCGTGCGTGCGTGTAATGCACTGTGTGTGCCTGTGCCCCTGCAGGTCGTCTACATGGGCTGGTGCGAGGCCCGGGAGCCGGACCCCATCCAGGACCGCGCGTACACACCGGCGTTCCTCGCCCTGAGGGGCTCGTGCCTCTACCGGTTCCTGGCACCTCCAGTAAGTGTTCCTATCCAGCACTCGTCATCGTCTTCGCGACGTCGCAGCACAGCGACCTCAGCTCCACAACAGCAAATGGCACGTGCCCATGTATTTCAAAGCTAAGATACAGAGAAAGCTAGAAAAAAAGATGCAGATGCTTCTGAGAGCATCTTGCTGGCGTTAAAACATTAACTTCACAGCCCGGGAAAACCTAGCAGGCCTTTCTGCTTAGGCTGCCGTGACGGGCAGGCCGCGCACGTTTGTCCGCAGAGCACGGCCTGCCCCAGTCGGTCAGCAGGGCTCTGACAAGCGGCCTCGTCCCGCGTCTGGTCCCGCGGCTGTGCGCGAGCTGGGCATGGGTAGCCGCTCGCCGGCGGTCGTGCCTTGGGGACATGCACCTTACACAGAGTAGAGTCTCAATTAACGTTTACTGAATATAAATATTAAATGTCACACCGCTCACTCACAAGTCTAGTAACACATACGACCTTGAAGTATCAAGTTAGACTTGAAGCAGTTTTGAACATCTTTGTCTACACAAAGCTCAACGCACCTGGAAGACAGGAAAGAAAAATAAAGATTTGTCTCTTTCACAAATTCCTGCTGTTCCTACTCTGAATGTTTTCTTATGACCAATCAGACAAATAGGTGTCAAACACAAGTTAGGAAGCAGCTCGTGGCGCTCAGCGTGTCGCCGTGTCCAGGGGCAGGAGGGCTCCTGGTCTCCCTTAAAAGTCACAGCCGGGGCTGCCGTGGCATCTGGGAGTCTCTGTGTGTCACTGGTGGGAAGCAGGAAAAAAGTTCCATGTGTGAAATACACACACTTGGTATTTACATGAAGAGGATACACACACTATCTAAAATGTATCGACACAGTCGGGGGGGGGGGCAGAAATTGTCGCGCATCATGTGAAGTCCTTGCTGAAATGGGAAGAGACATGGCGGTGAAACCTGGGCGGGGGGTGGAAATGCCGTCCCGGGGTTTGTGTGCGGAAACCTCGCAGCTCAGAGTCTGTGTGGTGCACGTGCGAAAGTCTCATGGGTGCTCCGTGCTATATAAGAAGAGACAAAAAGAGGGGCTGTCTTTCTAAAACAAATGGCACATGAGTTTCTCATCTTTTTAAAGGTGACCACGTGGGACTGGACCCGGGCAGAGAAAACATTTTCAGTTTATGAGATTATGTGCAAGATTCTCAAGGTATGATCAACAAGTGGTGGTCATTTTAATTGCTTTTCTTCAGCCAGTAGGGGTCCTGGGCTCATAGGTAGTTCATGGAAACAAACGATGCATGGATATGAAAGAAAACACAAGATAAAGACAAAAGAAAAAATATATATGGTTTAAATCTGCTTTTTCATGTAAAAATATGCTTTGAGACTTTGTTATGTCAATTAATATTCTTCCCCCAAAAATATGACTTTGTAATAGGTTTTACCTATCCCATCGTTTGGCCATCTTTTTAGCCAGTCTCTTAATTTTGCCTTTAGACAACACCCTGTCGGACATATTGCAGCATCATTCTCTGATTTATTGCGCAGACACTTGAGTGTTGCTGTATTCCAGGGCATCTGCTAAGCAGTGTGTGACTGGTGACAGAGGTGGAGGCACCCCGCTTTCAGCGAGCTGGCGTTTTATTAGGGTGACACCGTGTGTGGTTAAGGGGCCCAGGAAAAAGAACAGCGAAGAATTGAAAAACTCTTGTGTAACCTCTAAGTTATTTCCTTTAGTCTGAATTCTGAGATTTGGAAATCCCGGGTAGAAAATGTTTGAATATATTCAAGACGCTGGGTGCGTTTATCTAAACTGCCTCTAAAAAACCCTTGGCACTTTCCGCTGCTGTCACAGGAGCCCGGCGGTGCCCGGTGGTCAGCACTCTGCCCAAATCACAGCCAAGCAACACTTCTTACCTTCCCACATAAAACTTGCCATCGGCCTCTTAGTTGCTCTGGGGAAATTTTCACCTGGGTTATACGGCCTGGAGAGAAATATTTTCAGACATTGAATAACACACACCTACCCTCACTTGTCATCTGTGACAAGGAAGCTCTCCGGCCGCGAGCTAGCTCCACACCAAGTAAAGCGCCAAGGGCGCCTGCTGGGTGCTGTGACCTGGACCACCCCGCCTGCTCAGCCCTCCGCCCACCACCTGCTGCAGCCTCGGGCCGCCTGCCCGCCCGCCGGCTCTGGCCCCTCCATCCCCCTCCGCTCACACCAGCCCCGGCTTCTCTGACTGTGTCACCGCCCCCCCAGATTCCTGGAATCCTTTGCTCCTGCCTCTGCTCACCTGTCACCTCCCTTGCTGCCCTTTCTTCATTCTGTATAAATGGCAGTGTCCCCTGGGGCTGGCGTCCCTGAGTTAGCAGGCGTTCCTGACACTGGCCTTGTTGCCGTGAGGTGGCTCCTTGTTTGTGCTGTGGCTCCTCTCACCCCCCTCCAGACCAGCCTCCCGGGGACAGAGGTGCCACCTGACTGGCTCAGAGAGACGTCTCCCCACCCGAGCAGCGCCTGGCGCAGCCAGTGGGCAGTCCTCCTTGGTTGAACATCGGCTGAATACCCCCTCCAGGCACGGACAGGCCGGGATAAAACACTTTCAGAGGCAGCCGTGGGTACCTGCGACCTTGAACTCTGCTCCAAGGTGTTTCCATGGTTATAAGTTGTGTTTGTTTAAAAGAAGTAACACTAGGGGAAAAAAAAAAGCATCTGACGGGCCTGCGACGTAAGTGGCGTCTGGTTTATCCTGACCAGCTCTTTAGAAGACGCCTCGGAAGCCAGGCCAGAGGTCAGATCACGTATATTCAGGAGAGCTAACTGAGCTGTTCGGCCCTAGCACCTCCCCTTTGTTGGACAAAATGTGCAGGATTAACTGAACACATTTGTGAGATGCTTGCGAAACAGACACCACATTGCACAACGACCCTCGCTTTCTACGTCTGCCCGGACACGGCACTCGTACAGGAGACTGGGCTCCATAAACAGAGGTGCCGTGTTAGGTGACACAGTAATTCCTTTTATGGCTCACGTCGGCCAGACCCGCACAAGCCTGTGCCAGGGAGCGGGTGTCTTTTACTACCTGAGGGCTTCGGGAAATGCTGGCTCGGCTTCGGCACAGGGAGATGCTAAGATCATCAAATAGCTACAGCGTGGTGCCTGGGAGGGAAGGTGGAACGATTTACTTCATTTAGTTTCATAAAGAGAAAGCTCAGAGGTGACTTGATGTTTGTCCTCGAGGATAGAAAAGGTGACTTCTCAGAAGTGGTGACCACCTGTTTTGAATCACATCTGAAGAAAGATCAAGAGTAAATTAGTATAAACTGCGATGTGAGGGATTCCGTTTTCAAAACAGGAATAGTCGGAGATGGAAGAACCATCTTCACATTCCAAACACTGAAGGCTACAGCCTAGAATTGCCTTCTTTGGACGTTTTTAAACGTGGGACTGTTTGGATTGTTTCTTAAAGGCGGGACCTCGGGACCAGCCACAGCTCCCTCCGGTTACGACCCCATGAAATTCACCCTGAGGGAAACACGTGGCACCTGCCCCAGCCCCGCACGGCACAGCCTTTTCTCCTGAAACCACCCTTCCCGGGGGTTCCAAGTGTGGGCCTGAGGGCTCGTTTCCGTGTGATGCAATTGTCCTCGGAAGTAGAATATTAGAATTGAAATCTGGAAGGTGAAACTTGCAACTATTAATTAAAACCTTTCATCTCAGTCAGCAGCCCTGAAAGTCCTCCCTTTGACTCATATGAGAAATTAGTGTGAATGTTCTTGTTTTGTGTGCCTCTTGCTTGTTTGCTTTTCTGGTTCCAGTTTTGCTGATTTACAGCAGAGAAGCTTCTGTTTGCTTCAATAATAATGTCTTAGGGAAAATGCAGACATCAATCAAACCGATAGTGGAAGCTGATCCAAGTGTATGAAACAGGGACTCAAGAAAGCAAATCAAATACAAGGATAAAAGTTTCTTTTGATAATAGTGTTTTGTGTGCACGCCGTGTGCTTTCTAACAACACCGCATGGAAGAGCATTTTCCCTGACGGTAGCCAGCGTTTTCCACATGGGCAGTTGTCTTCACTGGAACTCTGTTTTAAAAAGTTCTTGGCTTTTTTCTGAGGGGGTAACTAGGTTTATTTTAATGGAGGCACTGGGGACTGAACCCAGGACGCCCTGCGTGCTAAGCGGGCGCTCTGCCCCTAAGCTACACCCTCCTCCTCCTCTTTTTTTAAAGTAGGGATTTTCTTCCCAAGTTCCCTGACTAAAGCTAAATCTAACACATATTAAGCAAATGAAGGAGCTTAAGCCAGGCTGTGTGGATAGACTGAAACAAGGGGTCATTGTGCAGGACAGAGAGTCGGCTGGGGTCACCGTCTCCCCTGTCCAAGAGTCCTCGAGAATCAGCCTTGCCTTTCTCTAAGATATCTGTTAATAAATATACTTGCATCCCAATCAGGTAAATTCTGTGGCAAGTAGGATGCTGCTTGGGACAGTGTTGTCTTCTTAAACCACCCCTGTGCTAGGGTCCTGCTGGTCTGGGGAGTCTACCCCAAATTTACCTTTAAGCCACACCCACCATAGATTTCTGAATCTAAGAATTCTAGCCTTAGAACATGTGTTCTCATGCCAATAGTCAGAAAAAATTGTGAATGGCAGATGCATTTAAAAAAAATATATTTTACCCTGAATTCTGGAATCTCTGAATTTTTGGAATATGTTCTTGTTTAAGTCACTTGACCTCTGCAAGCCGTGAAGACAGAGGGATAATGGGCTAATGTCTGCAAGAGCATTTCGTCATGCGCATGATGTGCTGGGACAGACCTAACACGCCCGTACAGGCACGCACACAAAAGCCCTCAAGAGTGGCAGAGGGTCAGACGTGCCTGGAAAATAAACTCAGGCCAGTGTGTACACTTCCAATGTGAATGCTGGTCGGTATTTTATAGACATGGAGCCTCCCCGACTGCTTGTTCATCCTGCACCTCATCGTAGGCGGCCCCACACGTCTGTGTTACAGAGGGGGGTGTGTGTGTGTGTTTGCGGGTGGGTGTACTGGTGTGTGCGTGGGCGCTGGAGTCTGACCCAGCCCAGCTTTTCAGCAACAGTCAGCATCAGTGACGGTGGTACATAAACGTATCCGCGAATTTCGTGTTTACAAGAGCTTCAGGCAAATGCGGGCACTGATTCTAGGAGACGTGGAAAGAAGTGGTAAAGTTGACTTCTGAGCTTCAGCCGGTGACTCCCCAGCACATGTGACCCGAGCCCCTGGGGCCAGCAGCCTCTCGAATGGGGACACGACCGACATGTCCAAGTCCCCTTTCCCTCCTCAGGAAAGTGAAGAGCTCAGCCGACTTGGATGGACTGCTGTAAAGACTGATCTAGAGACCGTATCTGACATTTGCCACTGTGTCTGTTTATTCATAGCAGGGACTCCAGTTTCCCAGGAAAGGAAAGGGAGGAAATTTAAAGTTTTATTTCTTCTTTTCCCGGATAAGGCAACTGAAATCCCAAAGATAAAAAAATGAATTGACTTACATATATAGGGCATTCACTTGGTTTGATTTTAATTGATTTTTAGTATCTAAAATATCTTGTTTTATTTTAAATTAATTTTAAAATAATAGTTATAAATTTTTTTCAATTACTTTTCTCAGAAGTTGAAAATTTTACTTTTCAGATCATGAGATTTACCTCTCATGATTTATGAATATGTGAGCAATAATTTAAAGGCTAGATGACTTGGAAAATAATCTTTCTGGCAGGTATTTAATGACATTTTACTAGAAAAGTAATTTTAACGTCTTGTTATCTGCCATAGCTATAAAAAATGGAAATACCTTCATGTACTTTACTTTCACCTACTTTTGATGTATTTCTACACAGCACAGAAGAGGGGAAGTTACATAATTATTGAGCTAATATCATTTGAAATGCAAGCTGTTTTCCACATTGGCCATATTGGCTGAATAAGATGCAAATACCCTTTTTGTTCTGGGATGTTTAGAACCAGATTTATAATAAAATTTGAGTAATTTCCCCAACTTTATCTTTTACAAAATCTAATGATGGAGAAATATTCCTAACAATATATTAATTTATGTAAAAATTTTCACTACACAACAGGGTTAAGAATGGTATTTGTATAAAAGCGGAAGACGGCACTGTACTATGTTATCACAGTACCATTTTTGTGCAGAACTTGGTGTGCAT